TGATCATCAGCGCTTATGGTTAGTGGCGTAGTTTACTCACGCATCTAGCGCGACATACTCCATAAATTACTACGCATAAACTCCATGTCCACTAGTCACCCCCGCACCGTAGCGCCAATCGTAGGTTTCGGTCAGACGCCGGTCCGCGATCGCCTAGGGTTTCGATCACGCTTTCGATCGGCGATCCCGCCGAATGCTTTCTCTTGTCACGCCTCCCACGCTGCCTCACCTCGCCTCTCCTCGCGGCCTCACCACGTTTTTCCTAGCGGCCTGCCTCCTCGCCTCCCTCCGCTGTCTCGCCTCGCCTTCCTTTGCATCGCCGCAAATCGCCGCTGGATCAATCCCCTTTTCGCGGCCTTACCGCGCCAGTTGTAGTGGCGTCACCGCGCCGCACCGAGCTGCTTCGCCTCGACGCCCGTCGTGGATTCGCCTCGCCTCCCCACGCTGCCTCGTCTCACGCCACCGTGAACGCGCTCACCGCGCCGACTTTTGAGTGACTCAAAAGTCACCTCCTCACGCCACCGTGAACACGCTCACCGCGCCGCACACCGCTGCGGTTTAGCGTGCTCTCGCACGCTCAGATTCGCCACCCGCTCGCGAAACCTCGATACGACGCCGTTTTCGCACTAGTCGCCGCAGCCGCATGTGAGATCGCGACAGCCGCCTCCCCATCTCTCCTTCCCGCCTCCCCATCTCTCCTTCCCGCCTCCCCTTTCCCCTTCCCGCCTCCCCATTTCCCCTTCCGCCTCCCCATTTCCCCTTCCCGCCTCCCCATTTCCCCTTCCCGCCTCCCCATTTCCGCTTCCTGCCTTCCCATTTCCCCCTCCCGCCTCCCATTTCCCCTTCCTGCATCCCCATTTCCCCCTTCCTGCCTCCCTTCCTCCGCGGCCATTCCTCCCCTTACCACCCCTACCCTACCCTCCCCACCCCCCTCCTTTCATCCCATTGCTTCCCCTTCCGTCCCATACACACCCCGCCCCCTCGTTTCCTTCCTATTCCCCACCCATCGCCCGCCCTCCCTCCCGTTTCATGGCCTTATATCCAGCGCCACTCCGCCACGAGTAGTGCGGGTGAGGGCAGGAGTGGGGCCCGGCGTATTTGAGGCGCACATGTTTGGAGTCTTGCCTCCCTGCACGAGGTGAGACAGCCCAGAGCCCCTCTGCCATTACCTTCCTTCCCATCACGCCCATCCCTTCCTGCACTTCCCACCTGCCTGAGCCTTCCTCCTGCCCCCCCCTGCACGAGGTGAGACAGCCCAGAGCCTCCCTGCCATTACCAACCCGGCGAATGTGGGCCCACCAAACGGGTGAATGGGCCCGCCAAATCTGACAAGGTGGGCCCGCCAAGCAGCAGAGGGAGCGGGTGACACGTGTGTGCGAGGGAGAGGAGTGGTAGTGGGAGTGGAAGGCTTATCGCGACGAGCTTAGGTGTGGCGCGCGGTGCTATGGGAAACGGTACGAGTGGATGAAGGCGCGGCGAGGGGGCAACGCATTATTGAACATCCAACCCTCTCACAAGGCGCCAACGGGGGCCTCGTGACCAGCGATGCCTTGGGCCTTTCATGAATCACGACAAGGCCCATGTCGTTGTTTGTCACCACATTCCTCCTTGTGCGCACTGACCGGGGCGGGGCCCGTGATGATTACAAGATACACACACCTGCGAGTTAGCCTACTTCGAACTCGGAGACGTGGTTAGAGTTCCCTTTACCGCCAACGCGGCGATGTATACGGTCGCTTTAATCGCAATGTATTCGCGATTGCTATCCTAATCTAATGCTGCTTGTGTATTTCCCCGAGTCTTTACAGTTGAACCTGGATCGTCAGCAGTCTCACGACGGCAAATAAAGAGCGACTTCATCGGAGCCCCCCCGCAGCCGCTTCTTTCCGTTCGTTTTCAGCCGTTCGTTTTCGGGCATGGTTGAGCCATGCACAGCCACGGAAACCAGTGTGTCAGGGGAGCAAACAAGTGTATTTCCGCTGGACCCAGCGGCGCCTCGCTCCCCGCAGCCACAAAGCCCTTCTCTCGCCTCGTTGGAGCCGCAAGAAGCTAGGCGATCGCGGTGGAGCTTCGCCGTCGTCAACGTGTTCTTGTAGTGAGTGTTCCGCTAAGGAATGTTCCTCTTGGAATACTAGTAACGATCGTTGTATGGCAAGTCGCTCGATGCCGGCCGCCACTGTTAATGGGTACACCGAGGTAAGGTAAGTGGGGAAGGTATGGCGGGTGGGAAAGGTAAGGTGCGTGGGGATTCGGAGCTGGCAGGTGCCTTGGCTGCCCTTGGCCTACCAGTGCAGTTCTGTGGAAGCGCCCGGGCCGTGCCCCTGGTGAACTCAATTTACTCTGTGGCACTCTCTTGCGTCTTCAACCCTTTCCATTGCCAGTTATCTGTGGATGGTTGTGCTCATGGTGGAGCCGAATAGGGCTGTAAGGTTTGCACGTGGATGTCCACAATACGTTTTTTTTACCTCACCTCGAACCTCTTCTCATGCCCACTGTTTGTTTTCGTGTATGCTGCAGCAGCAGGGTGGTGGTGTTGGTGGTGGTGGCAGCGGTGGTTCTGGTGGGGCTCGTGGAGGGAAGAAGAAGAGGCGGGGGAGAAGGAGGGGAGATGGACAAGCAGCAGCGGAGTGCGTTACAGACGCAGGGGTAGAGGGCGGTGCAGAGGACGTGGCAGGGGTGGGTGCAGCGATAGCAGTGGAGGGTGGTGCTGATGCAGCGAGGCAGGTTGCTGCTGATGCAACCATATGTGTTCTCACAGGGACAGTGGTGGAGGGTACTGCAGCGATAGCAGTGGTGGAGGGTACTGCAGCGATAGCAGTGGTGGGAAGCAGTGCCGAGGCAGTCGTGGGTGGTGTAGAGGCATTGGTGGGGAGCGGTGCAGAGGCAGTGGACGGGGACAGTGCAGAGGCAGTGGGGGGTGGCATGGTACCAACAGCAGCATGGGTTGCTGCAGAGGCAGAAGCAGAGGCTGTCACAGAAATAGTGGGAGAGGGTTGTGCCAGGCCGATGGGGGGAGAGCAGATGGGGGGAGGGCAAATACTGGATGGGAAGACAACTGGAGAGCGAGTGATGGAAGGAAAGGCAGAGGGAGTGTCATTCGTGGTGGCGGAGGAGGGTGCATGGCAGGCGGTGTGGGACCCCCTCTCCCACGGCGTGTACTTCTGCAATGCTGCCGCCGCCCTCACCCAGTGGCACCCACCAGACCACGGCGAGGGGTGTGGGCTCGCATGCTGGGTGGGATGGACGCCTGAACAGGTTGTAGCAGAGCAGGCCGTATCTGACCAGGTTGGAGCTACCGCACAGCCAGAAGTGGATCAGGTGTTATTTGAGCCCGCTGTAGCAGGGGAGGCTGTAGCAGACGAGGCTGTAGCAGCGGGGTATGAGAAGTACTGGCAGCAGCGGTACGGTCTGTTCTCACGGTTCGATGAGGGCATCAAATTGGATGCTGACGCGTGGCCCCTTGTCACTCCTGAAGCCATCGCTGCCCACCACGCTGCCATGTGCGCTGCTGCCATGGATTTTGGTGGTGCCATGTGTCCAAGGGGTGATGCTGCCACGTCAGCAGGAGGCGGTGGTGCTGGCGCGTCAGCAGGAGATAGCAGCGCTACTTGTGCAGAAGATGGTGCTGCCACGCATGCTGCTGCGCTAGAGGGAGAGGCTCTGGAGCTGACGAGAGTCCTAATAAAAGCAGGGGAGGAGGGGAAGGATGGAGGGGAGGGAGGGATGATGATGAAAGGTGAGGTGATGGGCAGAGAGGGAGGAGGAGAGGAACCAAGAGGTGGCTTCATGGACGGAGGAAGTAGTGGGGATGGAATACGCATGGAGAGTTGTGAGGGCGCAGGAGGCATGAGGGATGTAGCAGGCGTGGGGGTTGTTGAAGGCGTGGCGGGTGGGGCAGGCGTGGTGGTGGATGCCTTCTGTGGGGTGGGCGGCAACACCATCCACCTTGCCAAGCTGTGAGTCGGACGCTAAGGGCTGGGGGCCTTCCAGGGCCAGCTGAGCTCACTGCCTGGTGGTTTAGGGTTATCCAGTCACCCAGTAACCTTCTCCCTTCTGCGTTCTTTGGGGTGGGCGGCAACACCATCCACCTTGCGAAGCTGAGAGTCCTTACTAGCTGCTGGGGGCGCTTCTAGAATTAACCAACTTCCCAGTATCTCACTCCTAAAGCGGCCCAGGAACCCAATTGTGGTGAGTGGGCTGAGTCGGCTATGGGAGTGGATTAGGGGCGGTGGGGGATGAATTCTGCATGTGGGGCTTTTAGGTTGGGTTGACACCCCAGTGGAAAATGGATTCTTTGAGAGGCGGGTGACCAGGGCGATGTAACTTGCAAATTGTGTGTGTATGTATGGCTTTGTAACAGGTAGCTGTGCAGTGGCTGATGTGGTGGCTTCAATATTACTTCGGCTGCTTCAATGTAGCTTCATTGTGTGGTGTCATCACTAAACAGCTTTTACGGTTCTTCGAGTGTACCTTCTCCCCTGCCTGTACACATCCTTGCCACAGCAACCACAGCAGTCACTTCCAAATTATCTGCTTCCTCGTCACTCCCTGTCTCCCTTCCCGTTCCCCTTCCCCACCTTCTCTTTCTCCCAGCTGCCCCCACGTGCTGGCTGTTGACATGAGCGTGCCTCGCCTGGCCATGCTGTACCACAATCTCAGCATCTACGGCCCCCATCTGCCCCACCGAGTGGATGCGCTTTGCGCTGACTTCCTTTCCATTGCACCGCGGCTTAAGGTGGGGCATGGGAAGACCAGAGAGGTGTCGTATGGTGTGCACTATAACCCCTCACAGCACTTGCCTTGCCCTCTACAGCCCCGACCCGGTCTGCCCCATTGAGTGGATGCTCTGTGCGCCGACTTCCTCTGCACTGCACCGCGGCATGGCCAACTTCTTCCTCTCTTCTTTCATTGCAGCTCTAGTATGCACACGTCATGTTGGGATCCTGAGGGCCCGCATAGGCCGAGGCTGTGTATATGCCCATATGCTGTTGCATCTCCCCTTATCGCCATGTGTCAACATCCCATGCGTCAACATCCCATGCATCAACATCCCATGCATCAACATCCCATGCATCAGCATCCCATGCATCAACATCCCATGCATCAACATCCCATGCATCAGCATCCCATGCATCAACATCCCATGCATCAGCATCCTTGTTTTCCATTCGCTTGCTCCCAGGTTCGGATGCCCTGACATTTATGTGAGCACGCATACCCATGCCCATGCATACCCATGCCCATGCATACCCATGCCCATGCATACCCATGCCCATGCATACCCATGCCCATGCATACCCATGCCCATGCATACCCATGCCCATGCATACCCATGCCCATGCATACCCATGCTGGCACAACCTGTAGTTTGCTGTCCTGTCCACCATATGTTTCTATGCTACCGCATGTCCTCCTGCATGAGATCTCTGCTGTTTTGGATTCGGCTTGCTTGCTTAAAGGGCCACTTGATGTGGTTCATGCTGCCATGTCTCCCATGCTCCCTTGCCCACATGCTCCCATGCTCCCATACTCCATGCTCCCATGCTCTCATGCTTCAATGCCCACATGCCCCCATGCTACCTTGCCCCATGTTGGCATGCTCACTTGCACTCAAGCTTCCATGCTCCCAACCCCCATTTTCCCACTCTATACGCTCCCAACCCCCATTTTCCCACTCTCTACGCTCCCAACCCCCATTTTCCCACTCTCTACGCTCCCAACCCCCATTTTCCCACTCTCTATGCTCCCAAACCCCCTTTAACGCACGCACCCACCCCCCGTACCATTTCCGACCCCCGGTGTCTGTCTCGTGCCTTTACCTTGTTCTGCAGGGCAGGCTGATGTGGTCTTCCTGTCCCCCCCATGGGGCGGCCCGGAGTATCTAGACCAATCAGAGTACGACATCTGGAGCATGCTGCAGCCAGTCAGCGCGTACGTTTCATCCTTGAGTGCCCTTTACATACCGACCACAATCAAGTGTTCCTTTCGAAACGTCTCATTCTGTTGTCATGGTGTTGAGTGGAATGTGCAACTGCTTAATCCATGCATTCACACGTGCTAACTAGCTCTCTCTCCACCCTCCACAGCACCCTTGGTCCCATTGCCTTTCCTTCTTCGCTTAGTTTTGGTACAAGAGACCACTGAATTACAACGCACGGCATCACCCTCTCCACCACCTCTGTCTCCTTTGCTGCTTCCCCTTCCCCCAGCTCCGCCCTGCTGCATCTATCACTGAGCATCGCCCCATCAGTGGCCATGTACCTGCCTCGCAACACTCCCGTCCACCACCTGGAGCACCTCCACCCCCTATACCCCTTTGTCTCCTTTTCTCCTTCCCATCCTCCAGCTCTGCCCTGCTGCATCTATCACTGAGCATCGCCCCATCAGTGGCCATGTATTTGCCTCGCAACACTCCCATCCACCACCTGGAGCATCTCGCTCGCTCCATCACACCTTCATGTCCCTGCCTGGTGCGTCATGACTCATGATTCATGCCGCAATTTGCTTCAGTCCTGATATGTGCTGGTTGGAACAGAATGATGCGAGGTCCTAACACGTGCTTGGCATTCTTGTTTCAACCCCTGTTTTCGTGCCGCAGGTGGAGCGGAATTTCTTGAATGGGAAGTTCAAGGCTATCACTGCATACTTTGGCCCTATCGCACGTGTTCCCAGATGCATTGAGTGTCAGAATATTAGCAGTGCATATCGACATCAATACTCTGGTCATGTCTGGAAAGCATGATAACGGAGGACCCTTCAGAATGTACAGCCCCAGGTGGTCTCAGGTCGCTCTTAAAGCCCGACTCTAGAATGGCAAGGCTTAAAAAATACTGAACTTGAAAGGAAAGTGACGGGATGGGAAAGCGATGGTGATGGTGATGGGAAGGGAAAGCGGCGATCAACGGGATGGAACAGCGTGGGCTACACTCAGAGTAAGCGTTGTTAAGAACATACTAAGGAGGAATGAGTGATGTCAAGGGGGGGGTACAAAGAGGATGTCGAGAGAAATATTGTACCGCCTAGCATGCAACCCACTACGGGCTAGACAACTAAACCATGATAACTTTGACACACCCCCATAGCCCGAGTGAGGTGCATGAAAACGACCAAGACAAGCATGTGGTTACAAGACCAGTCAAGAGAGGAAAACACAACAAGCTCAGGGTGGATCACAAAGTCACCACACAGTCTGAGCATAGGCAAACGGCCACAAGGCCAGTCCACAAGTAGTGATATAGTAGAACAAGCAGTACAATGATCACAACCTAGCACATATATATAGATCACAGTACAAGGCAAAGTCAAGAGACAAGCAAGTGAGGCACAGTGGGCACAAACCCAAGAGTAGTGCAGAAACTCTGTTGATCACAAGAACCCAGGGCCTTGGTGAAGATATCAGCAGTATTGGCTTGTGAGGCCACGTACCGTATTCCCCCGGATAAAAGACCCCCCTATAATAATGTACCCGGGTCTTTAATACAGGGGGGGGTATATTATTCAAGGCTGTTTTCCTTATACCCCCCAATTGGGGTGAAATCATTATAAGACCCCCCCCCCCCCACCTTAAAAGTGTTTTTTAGAGGCTAATTCATGTCAATTAAGCAAGCAGTGGCACATGTTAGGCCACAGGAGTCACGAAATACAATCAACGCAGCCTCTCAACACCCAGCTAGCTCCACTCTTCACCCACCACCTTGGAATCCGCCCCCGCCTTGCTACTCATCTTCGTCACCCGCCACCCACTCCTCTACCTCTGCCCCCTCATAGCGACCAGAGGCCCACCATTCATCCCCTTCGTCGCTCCACTCGTCAGCTTCGCCCGCGTTTCCATCGTCGGACTTGCTCGAGTCTGACTTAGCAGGTACTGCCTCCTCATCGGCCTCCTCTACTTCAGCAGCTAGCACTGCCTCCTCCTCCATCTCAACGGTCACATCGGGAGGGGTGACCACGAGGGCCGGGTAGAACGGGTTGGGGACCAGTTCATCCTGCTCCTCCTCCATCACGTCTTCCAGCACCTCCACCTCGCCGGAATCCCGCATGTGCGCCAGGATCAGATGATCCTGGCTCCCGTCCTCTTCGTTGGAGATGCCGCAGGTGAGGAATGCTTTCCTCACCATCTCGTCCATCCATCCCCGTGCCTGCGCACGGATAACGACGCCTGCACACCGCATGATGCACATCAGTCACATGTACAAGGGTACGAGTAACAAACGTAACGGCAATAATGACTCACCTCGCGGAACGACGACCTTCGGGATTGTCTTGTGCTTGAACACCACATACGGTGGCATCTTCAAGCCGCTCACCGTCACCACCAGCATAACGGTGAGGCGCGCCTTCTCGTAACCCGCGGTACGGACGTGCACGGTGCGCGCCCCCTTCATCTCCAATGTGCGTTCCTGCGGCATCTCCAGGAAGAGCGGTGTCTGATCGGCATTAACGATCAGACTGGTGGGGTAGGATTTCAAGACTTGCATCTCCCGAACAAACTCCCAGAAGGATTCCACCTTGGCCTTCAAATCTGCAAGGAGAGAGAACATAGAAATTGTTAGTCGCGGAACAACATCGATTACACACACGAGCCCGGTTTCCACGGGCAAATATAGCAACAAGGCAAAGGGACTCACTATCAGCCAGCTTTTGCCCCATCCTTGTCTTGACATGCTTTGCCAAGAACCACCGCACGTGGAAACGGAAAGTCCAACGGTTAGACCCGCGCCAGTCGGCCTGAGGGTGTCGGTGCTTCATGTACTGCCGCGACCACTTCTGAAGCATGCTCACAGAGACGGCTAGACCCTTGGCACGCTGCGCCAAAAACTGACGGTAGATGGCCCGCTCCATGAAGTCTCACTCGAAGACGGTACTGGCGTGGGCAGCACATGATGCGGCGTAGTCCTAACACGAGCAGGTTGACGGATGGTTGTTGCACGAGGGCGACGGGATTCTGACGTGCCTGAATCGGGCGTTGACACCATGCTGACACCCTTTTTCTGCCTTATGCTATGCCTGTCATTCTTCGCGCTCTGAATTTAATATGCCGTGCTAGTCCCACTATGCTAGACTCTGCCGAGCTGCGCTCCCCATTGCACAGAGGTGGGTCCGTTCCCTGGCGGTGTCAAATTCGCTTGTGCACGAGACATGACAGAGATAGCGCGACTCTGTACTGAGAGCCTCACGTACCAGTAGCATGCAAGGGATGAGACGTCCGAGGCGGTCTGACACAAAGCATTGGATGTGGTACACGTTGGTCGGCCCCCAATCTGTAATGCTGGTTACCATTGAATATGGGCCAATGAGCATGAAGCATTCAGATGCTTCTTGGATTGTGCCCGGTTTCTCGGCTCGGGACATTCGCGGGGTGTTTCCTCGTTTAAAAAATGCAAATCTGCATTACAACACCCTTGCATTTCATTATATTTAAAAAAACATTGCACTTATAATAAGACCCGGGTCTTATAGGTTTTTTTACAATTTAATAAGACCCCCCACATTTTTTTGTGAAATCAATAACAGACCCTAGGGTCTTTTATCCGGGGGAATACGGTAAGCAAGTCGAAGCTGACCACGCTGCTGCAACTCTCGCACGAGGAAGTTGCGAAGAGCAATGTGCTTCGTTTTGTGCTCCAGTCTCTGCTCCCGGCACAAGGCAATCATGGCCTTGTTGTCGACGTACAGAACCGAAGGAGAACGAGACCGCTCACCCAAGTCATTCAACAAGTAGGTCAGCCAGCGTAACTCCTGTACGGCCATAGCCACAGCGTAGATCTCGGCCTTGTAGCTGGAACTAAGCACGGAAGACGAGCGGGTGGACCTCCAGGATACAAAACCAGCGCCGAGACTGAAAGTGTAACACTGTGACGACCGCTGACTCTCTTGGTCGTCGGCCCAAGAAGCGTCTGAGTGTCCAGTGAGCACAACTGGATCCCGTCCTCCAAGCACAAGCCCCATGCCTGATGTACTGCACAAGTAATGCAGTACCCTCTGCGCAACCCGGTAGTGCTCAGGGCGGTGTCTCCCGGGAGCAACGTAGCGCGCCAGGATGCTAAGAGGGTACGCGAGGTCAGGTCAAGTACACATCATCAGATGCATGAGGCAACCCACAAGCTCTGGATACGGACCACTCGGCTCTACGGACTCATTTGAAGGTGGAGCTGAGAGCGACTGGCTCGTAGGCAGAGGAGTGGGCTGTGGCGATGAGAACTGAAAGCGGAAGCGCGTCAGGACTTGCTGCACCATGTGTGACTGACTCAGAGTGATGGTGTGCCGTGCTCTGTCCCGGGTGATCTGCAGGCCAAGATAGCTCCGCAACTCACCCATGTCAGTGCAGGTGTGTCTCTTCTAAAGATCCGCTTTCACAAGGGCCACAGCCTTAGCGTCAGAAGTAGCAAAAACCAGGTGGTCGACATACACGAGGATGTAGAGCGGCAACAGAGAAGGGTCTGTGCGCAAAAACAGCGACGGGTCAGCAGTCGAAGGAGTAAACCCAAGAGTAGCAAGCGCCGTCCTCAGTGTGGCGTGCCACTCGCGGGGTGCCTGGCGGAGACCGTAGACTGACTGCCAGAGACTCCCTGGGTACCGTCTGGAAACGACCCAGTGAAGCCAGGTGGGCGGCGTAGCCAGATCTCCTCGTGAAGGCTGCCTTGCAAGAAAGCTGTGGAGAAGTCGAGGGAGTGCAGCTCGTAGTCACGCTGTGCTGCAACGTGCAGTAACACCCGATGAGTAGTCATCTTTGGGGTGGGGGAGAAGGTCTGGAAGAACTCGACCCCCTGTCGCTGACTGAAGCCTCGAGCAGCGTAATGCGCCTTGAAGGCAGGCGGAGAACCTGGCGGCCGCTTCACTCTGAAAATCCACATGCCATCGACTATGTTTGCCCCAGGAGGGGGAACCTCGTCGACGTAGGTGCCTGTGGACTTCCAGGAAGCCATCTCTGCGTCCATGGTTGTTTGCCACTGAGAGGAGTACTGATCCGAATTCGCCTCTGCGTAAGAACGCGGGGTCGGGATCTCCAGTGCGTCCGGGTCTCCCTCATGGCAAAGTAGCATGGCAGCGAGATGAGGTACAGCAGCCGCGAGGCACTCGAGCTCAAAATTCCTTCCCTCAAGGACGTCACTGCCAAGGGAAAGCTCACCCCCGACGGAGGGATGACAATAGACTCAGAAACAAGACTCGCGAAGTAGTCAAGACGACAGGCAGTAGCAAAGTCAACGAGCTCAGTGACGCAGCAGCAGACTCAAAGGTAGGGTCAGTGACAAGTGTGGCCAGACACGAGTGACAGTCGGACTAGCAGCACGAGCAATGTCAGACTCAGGGGCAGGGACGTCAGGAAGAGAGAACTCTGGAGGAGACGGCAGGGCAACACGCTGTGGAACAGAGAAAGGACAAAGTGCCATAGTGTGTGGGGGACAGGTGGAGGACGAACATGTCGAGCACGACTAACAGTGCGAACAGTGAGAACAGGCAAGGCAGGACGAGATGCAGGCTCGCGACGCTCTGTTAGGGAGTTTGTCTGCTCAGTGTAAGGAGAAGGAGCCGGCAGTGGGGAGTCAGGCTGTAACTGTGGCTACTACTGGTCAGGCGGAGGACACAGTAGAGGATGAGTAAGACAAGTGGAAGACAAAAGACTGAGAACCTGACGAAGCGCCGAGCTAGGTGGTGGCATCGACGACTACGGTTGTGGCCAGAAAAATGGTCGCCGCTGCACTGGCTTGTGAGAATAATAGGAATGAACTAGAAATGAGATGGGTACAAGTAGAGAACACAAAAGTGTTGTACCCTCTAAGAACTACCCCACTACAGCCTAAACAGACTATAGCAGATATGAGTTTGACACACCCCCATAGGCAAAGTGGGGGAAAACAAGGGGTCACAAGACCAGTCAAGAAAGACAAAGCAAGCTCAGGGTGGATCACAAAGTCACCACGCAGTCTGAGCACAAGCAAATGGCCACAAGGCCAGTTCATATGCAGAGTCATATAAAAGAAAACAAACAATAAACAGAACAAAACCTAGCAAGAGTAAGCATGCTGGTATATGTATAAAGAGTACAGTACAGGCAGAGTCAGGCAGAAAGCAAGTGAGGCACAGTAGGTACAAGGCCTAACACAGTGCAGAAACGCTGATGATCACAAGGCTGAAGTGCCTTGGTGAAAACATCAGCAGTGTTGGCCTGAGAGGCCACGTACGCAAGACGAAGCTGGCCACGCTGCTGCAACTCTCGAGCAAGGAAGTAGCGCAGAGCAATGTGCTTCGTTCTGTGCTCCAGTCTGTGCTCCTGACACAAGGCCAGCATGGCCTTGTTGTCGACGTACAGAACTGGAGGAGAACGAGGCGCCTCTCCCAAGTCGGTCAGCAGGTAGGTAAGCCAGCGAAGCTCCTGTGCAGCCATGGCCCCAGCGTAGATCTCAGCCTCACAACTGGAGTTGAGAACAGAAGAAGAGCGGGTAGACCGCCAAGAGACAGAACCGGAGCCAAGACTGAAGGTGTAGCCCTGTGACGACCGCTGCGTAGCCAAGTCGTCAACCCAGGAGGCGTCAGCGTGACCAGTGAGAACAACTCGAGCCCGTCCTCCAAGCACGAGCCCCATGCCCGATGTACTGCACAAGTATCGCAACACCCTCTTCGCAGCATCCCAGTGCACCTTTCGGTGCCTGCCGGGAGCCACGTAGCGAGCCAGAAGGCTGAGAGGGTATGCGAGGTCAGGTCGTGTGCAAGTCATCAGGTACATGAGGCAGCCCACAAGCTCTGGATACGGGCCACTCAGCTCTACGGACTCGTCCGAAGGTGGAGCTGAGAGCGAGTGACCGGTAGGCAGAGGAGTGGACTGTGGCGAGGAGTACGTGAAGCCGAAGCGCTCAAGGACCTGCTGCACCATGTGTGAGTGAGTCAAGGTAATGGTGCGCTGTGCTCTGTCCCGGGTGATCCGCAAGCCAAGATAGCTTGTCAGCTCACCCAGGTCTGTGCACGTGTGTCTCTTCTGCAGCTCGGACTTCACGTGGGCGAGTGCCTCCGTGTCAGCAGTAGCAAAGACGAGGTCGTCTAC